AACGGTCCGCGAAGTGAACGCATCCTTGGCACGAAAGACGAGTAAAACGAAACCATCCCAAGGTAAGACTCGAGCTGCTTCACATCTTGGGGTGGCGGCATATGGGCGATGGCGGCAATTCTCTCAGGGTCGGGGCGTCTTCCTTCCGCGTCGACGATAAATCCGAGAAATACTATGCTAGGTTCAGCAAAATGACACTTCTCATGGCGAACACGCATTCCATAGTCTTGAAGACGTTGGAATAACTTGAAAACGTTTGCATCGTGCTCCTCACGAGTCCTTCCGGTGACCACAACATCGTCCAGATAAGCGACGGCTCCACTGATGTCGGCGGTGACGTTGCTCATCAACGACTGGAAGATCCCAGGAGCACTCTTCACACCAAAAGGTAGTCGGTTGTAGCGGAAGAGTCCACGGGATGTGTTGATGGTCAGTAATTCCTTGCTCTCGTCGTCCATCTCTACCTGCAGATAGGCGTCACGCAGGTCGATGTTGGTGAAGACGGTTCCTCCATTCAGCTTCGTGAAGACGTCCTCAGCGGTTGGCAGTGGATGTCGGTTCAGCTCCAATGCATCGTTCAGCCCGGTGGAGAAGTCGGCACAGATCCGTACTGCTCCATTCTTCTTCTTCACCGGAACGATCGGAGCGGCCCACTGAGAGTAGTCGACGCGTGACAGCACTCCAGTAGCGACGAGGCGGTCCAACTCCGCGTTGACGAGAGGTTCTACGGCAAACGGTACCTTCCGTTTCGGCACGTAGACGGGTGTGGCATCCTTCTTCAGCACCAGGTGAGCCTTGAACTTGTTAACGTGTCCCAGCTCCTTTTTGAAGACTTCTGGGAAGTCAGCCACGAGGCGGTCGTCCAGTGGTGAAGAGGCATCTACAACACAGCAAACAGCCGAAAGGGCATCTTGGAAGGGCGGCAGCTGTTGCAGCATGTCCATTCCTAGCAAACACAAGTCCTTGGTAACGTAAAATAATCCTTGGCCATCGAAACCATTGCATGTGAACGGCGTCTCATGAACTCCAAACACTTCTATCTGTGATCCATTTGCAGCTCTCAATTCCGCAGGCGGGGCCTTCAGGGTTGGCGATCCTAATTCCATCCACGTGCGACTGATCGTCGATACGTCGGCACCGGTGTCGAGTTGCATCTTTACATCCAGGTCCTTCAACTTGACGTTAACATAACGACGGTGGGAGTTCAGCACGTTCAGCTTCACAACTTTTTTCATGGAACGGCGGACTGGTCGGTTCCTTGACGGGCAGTTGCTGGCCCAATGTCCCTTGTTTCCACAGTTGTAGCACACGTCATCACGGCGGGAACGTCCAGACGAATCCTTGCTATCAGATGGGCGTCTGGTACGTTGCGGCGGTGGTCGACGTTGCTTCTTCTTCCGGATAGGAGCGACGACTTCAGCTTGGACGGGCGCCGATGCAGATCCAATGAGGGCAGCATCCTTCTGCACGGACTGGTAGGCGTTGTAGTCGGCAATCAAGTCCTGCAGCTTGTAGTTATCTGTTTCGGCGTCCAGCTTGCTTAGCAGTCGAGCCCGAATTGGCAAATCGCATGGCGACTGCAATCCCATGACGAAAAGTAGGCACTTTAACGGCTCGCCTTTCATTTCGTCTGCTTTGGCATCGACTAGCATTTTGTTGAGTCGAGCAGCGTACGATTCGACGTCTTCTGCAGAGTCCTTCACTACGTGAAGACAGTTCCATCGACGTCGGAACAGCGTTGTTCTTTCACCGAAGAGCGACGTCAGCACTTTCGTTAGCTCTTCGAAGGAGAGCTCCAGCGGTGATTTCGGGGCCAAATGCCCTCTCAACTTGGCGTGTGCGGCGTTATCCAGCTTCGCGGACAGGAGGGTACAGCGGTCTTTCTCTGGCATCGACGTCGGGACGATTTCTTCGAATCTCGATAGCCAGCTCTCGAAGGTGCACCCGCTGTCCGGATCGTAGCTGAAATACGGCAGCCGCGACGAAAGTGCTGAGTAGTCAGCCATCGAAGGAGCAGTTGAATGGTCCATCCGTTTTAGTACTTGTTCCATCCGCTCGGATTGCTCCTGGTTCGACTTTAGGAGAGCAGCAGTTTGCTCCTGGCTTGCCTTCAAAATTGCAGCCGTTTGCTCCTGATTCGCCTGAATGAGTGCAGTGATAGGCTGCATCAGCTGTGCGAACATTTGCTCCAATGAAGCGCTCGACTTGGTCGTCATCCTTCCCAAAGAAGTACTTGTTCAACTTGTTTCTTACTCCACGCGTATCGTCCAGTACTGATCGCCACTTGTTGTTGCCTTCTACTTGTACTTGTACTTGTGGTGGGTCCGGGACACTTGTAGAATAATAGGTTTATTAGTAGACCGGATATGAATAAGAACAAGACGATAAGACGAGACGAACGAATGACTTAGCTAGCAGGGAGCGCCTTATATAGCGCTCAGATCCCGCGCATAGGTCAATACAACACCAATAGATCAGATCACTAAACACAACAAACAAACAATAACAAATATAATGCTACTCTCCAACAGTGACATTTGTCATAGTGTGTCTAACATTTGATTCAACTGGCTTGGCTTTCGGGAAGGCGGGGCTTCGTGACCTAATTAAGGCTAGGTAATGATCAGAGAGCACTCGCGCGAGAGAGATGCAGGTGCGTCGCAGGCGCGAGCGGCCTCAATTAAGCCACAAAGCCCCGCCCTGATAATGCCAAGACAGTTGAATCAAAGGTTACATATCCGGGCGGAGCCGGGTATACCAGCTAGTTGCTCAATGGTTGTATTTTAGGTGTGTCACAACAAGAGCCAAAAACGGATTTCCAGGCGCCCTAGTCAGTTTCAGGAGTGTCTGTCTTATAAGACTTTGCGTTTTTTCTTTGGATATGAGATTTATGTAACCTGTGTGCGAATATTTCTTCTACAATCAAAGTTCAAAGTTACTGCTCATTCTTTTTCCGCACTGCCTCTCGCCATTCATCTTGAAAATCAAACTTGCATTCATGACTGATTGAAATGTGAAGGCTAGTAAAAGCTGTACACGTATATTTTTGCATGAACTTCTTTTAGGCCTGAGGCATATTTCGCGCGATTCAGTCGATGCGCTATCTGGCACTGCCGACATCTGTTCATACCTCGTCGTAAGCGCGCTTTACCCGAGTCACACTTATTGCGTTTGCAACAACTCACAAAAGCCACTTGTCTATGCATTAGAGACCCGCGCACGATGAATCCGCAGACATCTGGCAGATAGTCAAGTTGCGTTAATGTAGCGATTTGACGGAAGTGCCTTAAGGGCATACTTCACGCGATTTCAGTCGAAACGCGATTTGGCAATATTCCAACTGCCCATAACTCACTGTAAGCACATTTAAAATATACAGAAGATAGGGCATTTTATCAAACTACGTGAGTTATACACACTATGCATGTGCAGTTTGCTAGTGTTGGATCTGAAGACTTCTGGCGAATTACCAAATCGCGTCGCGATTGAAATCGCGTGAAGTATGCCCGGCCCTTAGGCCTCGGACAGAGTTCACGCATTTTGATCGTCGCGATTCAATTAAAGACAAGTGTGTTCATTGCATTCCGATCTTCTCGCATTTCGGTTGTGATAGTTATCCAACACGACTAATCGTGGCTACCTATCACAACCGAAATACAGGAAGAGCGGCATACAATGCCGTAACACTTGTCTTGTAGCGACTGAATCGCGACGATCAAATCGCGAGGACCCTGCCCAAGGCCTTAGGCTTTAGGGTGCATACAGAGTTTCCACTTGTTTTAGTATCCAGTGGCCGTATTCATCAACCAACCCTGAGGGTTAAGCTTACCCTCTAGGTTAGTTTAACCCTCAGGGTTCATTGGCCGTATTCATCAACCATAGGGTAGGGTTTACCACGGAACGCGATCTACCCGTATCGATCAACGAACCTGTGGCCGTGTTCGTCAACCCTGAGGGTTAAACTAACCCTGAAGGGTTAAGGCGTCAGCTACGCGTGCGCTGTGCAAACTCACATCAAGGAATGCCTAAGTACGGGCTAAATTCACTTTATACTTCTATTCTTTCACTGTTATAGTAGTATAGTCAACGAATAAGCTTCTGACACTAGTTTTTATAACACATCCCTAGCATACTTGTGCAGCATCCAATCTTACAGCGTGAGTTTATTTTCATGTGTGCAATTGCCGTGCAAGTTCTACTTTTGCGCAGTTCGTTTTATACCGGGCTTGTGCTACTCTTTTAGGGGTCAATGCGTGTTATTATAAAGGGGTTCTTCTGTTTTGGCACTTGTCAAAGTGGAATGCCATTTTTCTCTCGTCGCATTCATTTGTCACCAAAGCTAGAATTCTTTTTCTCACGAAGTCATTTTTTCATGTACTTCGAGTATGAACATAAAACGAAGTCGAAACTAAATACTATAACAACAACCAATACTAAATATTACAATACTCGTTGATCGTCTTCCATAAACTATTAGATGCGAGTAAATGTTTGTATGAAGTGTTAGGGTAGAGTTAACCTTGATCTGAGCTAGGGTTAAATTAACCCTGACGAATCACGTAAGTTTAACCCTCCAGGGTTAGTTTAACCCTCACGGTTCGTTGATGAATACGGGTTAGTCGCTTTCGGGGTAAAATTAACCCTCAAGGTTAGATTTAACCCTTAGGGTTAAGCCTACCCTGTGTTTCATGAATACGGGTTAAACGCTTTCCAGGGTTAAACTAACCCTCCAGGGTTAGTTTAACCAGGGTTAAACTAACCCTCCAGGGTTAGTTTAACCCTCGGGGTTCGTTGATGAATACGGCCACAGAAATGCTTTAACACATTTCACTGCTTTGGCTTGTAAGCGAGGGAGCATCACGCCGAGCGCATAGGGCATACACTGTACCTAAGCTAAGGAAATTTGATCAAGGTTTCGACACTGATTTTTTTGTTTAACGTATGATTGCTCTACACAAACAATTTGATTTAAGTTCTCTGTCTTTAATTATTCTACTCAGGAAAAAGTTTGATTTGCGTTCCTCCTATCAAGTGCGAGAAAATGCCGACGTCCTGAAGATCATGCTTCCACTGTCAATTTTTGAGACGTTTTGTTATGGAATTTTTTCCCTTTATGGCGGTCTCATCTATAAGTTTCACAACCAGCTCCCCGCAGTCACATCTCAAATTCTTTTGACGAGTGGATACGTAAGTGAAGTTCAGTTTCTACAAAACATCGCTCAATTGCCGGTTTAGGTCGTCCCCTACTACACACTTGTATCTCCAATCATTTTTTCGTACCTGATCAGGCGCTCACGACGAATGAGAGTCACCCGAATGAAGGAAATGACAAACAGAAAAGACGAAGCAGAATCTTATATACAAATGTGCACTGAGATGTGGAATCGGCCTGTCACGAAAAAGAATTGACTCTTCAAAAGCTGATATGCATATATAATACTGTTCATAACTAGATTCAGCTCGGCGAGGCTCATCTTCTCATGTCTGCGTTTGAATAAGGCACGGAGTCAGATTTCACTATTCTTCTTAGGCAGGTGCCAGACTTACCCAGTTCAATGGGTTCGTCCGCTTCACCCCATCCGCCATCGGCCAGTTTATTGATTTGACCATACAATATACCGCTCACATTTTTTGAAAAATAGACGCGAATGTATGGACATGTATGGACATGTATGGACATGTCCATACATGTCAATACATGTGTGGACATCACCGTCGCGTGGCCATATCTCGCTTCAGAGTGGACAAATTCTGAATCCAAAGCCACCATTCGATTCAGCTCGGCGCGGAGAATCTTCTGATATATTGGAAGTGGGGGTACGTTGTCTTCAATATTCCGTTTCCAGTTTTTTCAATTTGTTCTGCGGAGGTTTTTTCGCGAATATGTGAAGCAACGCCTACCCAACATAGAAGACTAAGTACTATTCAATAATACTGTTCTTGTAGATTACTGTGCGCTAAAAAAATAGGCTCAGACTTCTTTCCAAAGGAGATAGAAGCGTTGGTGAATTTTGGAAAAGCACAATTCCTAGTAACTTTGACTGAGAAAAGCAAGTAGGCAAGGTTTCTGACAGATACGCGAGAAGTGCGGCCAAAGTTACGCACTTTCGTGATGCAGTTACAGTCACCTCACCGTATCTCTCCAAAAAGACCCTGTAATCAAAGACCACGATTTTCGTAAACAGCGTGTTCGAAAATCTCTATAAGCGAAGTGCCCTTACAATTCAAGAGCACCCACATTTTGACCAAAATCCATCGGCGAGCTTCCGGATGTAAAACGAGAAAAAATGGAATAACCCAAACATATCGGAAAACTTGCTCGTAGAGGTTATGCGACCTGCTGATTTCGAAACTCACATCTGCTTAGATAGCTTCGTCCCAAATTCCAGCAAGGATCTTTCGATAGCACTTTTTCTGTAGATTATATTGTGCTAAATAGTAGCCGCAGGTTTGTTTTCAAAGGAAATAGAACGGCTGGTGAATTGTGGAAAATCTTGTCGTCCCAAATTCTACTCGCCATATCCTGCGGATATGGCGAGTAGAATTTGGGACGACAAGATTTTCCACAATTCACCAGCCGTTCTATTTCCTTTGAAAACAAACCTGCGGCTACTATTTAGCACAATATAATCTACAGAAAAAGTGCTATCGAAAGATCCTTGCTGGAATGTACTCGGGACAATGCTCGCTGCTTTACACCTTCGCGAAAAGACGTCCTCAGAAAGATTCAAGAATACTGAAATCGAAATATCAAGGACATGTTGTATATAAGAAGATTCGCCTTGATGAGCTGAGCAAGGCGCTGTTTTCGGACTCAAAATATACTTATTCCGCAGGAAGTTATGGCGAGTAGAATATGAAAACGTGATTTTTCCAAAATTCACCAAGTCTAAGCTTATTTTTTTAGCGCACAGTAATCTACAAGAACAGTATTATCGAATAGTACTTAGTCTTCTATGTTGGGTAGGCGTTGCTTCACATATTCGCGAAAAAACCTCCGCAGAACAAATTGAAAAAACTGGAAACGGAATATCGAAGACATCGTACCCCCACTTCCAATATATCAGAAGATTCTCCGCGCCGAGCTGAATCGAATGGTGGCTTGGATTCAGAATTTGTCCACTCTGAAGCGAGATATGGCAACGCGACGGTGATGTCCACACATGTATTGACATGTATGGACATGTATGGACATGTCGCTACATGTCCATACATGTATGGACATGTCCGTACATGTCCATACATGTCCATACATTCGCGTCTATTTTTAAAAAAATGTGAGCGGTATTGTAGCAAAAGAGTGAACCGTAAGAACCGGTTGAAGCGGATAAATCTGGCACCTGCCTTACAAATTTTTGCCTACAGTAGGTTACGATGTGCAGTGAATAATCAAACTAAGTAGCCTTCCATAGACAAAATATAAAGCAAATATCTGAACAATTTGCAATGTATGACCGCCTCTTGTGCATCTTCCCTGTGCAAACGGCACCCCTATATATCTATCTTGATTATGCCCTCCTCGAGATGAATCGAATAGTGCCCGAATCTAGTATTTGTCAGCTACGAAGATATGACGATACGCGAACTTCAGTGACCTCGACGAATCATAAGCGGTACTGTAAAGACGAGAGGAGAGACGAGCCTTGAAATGGAGATAATATCCTCGTAATGAATGTGTAGTTTTGCTTGCACATCCATCTCTGAGTTAATCATACCTCATCCTATGCACTTAATCTTGGAACGAAAGTAAATCTCCATATATATAAAACTCAAAAATTGTCTGTTTGGAGGGTGCGTACGTCTCAGAAACAGCTCACACGATTGAGCGAAACTTTGCATATACATGTCATGTCCCGGCCCAGGTTATGTCTACTTTTCGTGGCGGTTTGCCAGGATCTTCTATCAGTTTATTAATTTGTTTACGTAGTTCTAAGGAAATGATAACGTTTTAACAAGGCATAGTCATGTAGACAGGGAGGCAAAGCACATCTCTTTCTCGGAATCAGGAGGATGCGGTCGGAGTAAAGTTGTCCACAGTTATCCATAAGTTGGGAGGAGGGAGGAAGGGGGAGGGCTTTTTACAGCACAGTAACATGCTGGCAACCAGGGTTGAGCAAGAGGTCAGGCACAAGTCCTTCAAAAACGACCCCCCCCCCCCTGTGAAAGCCCCTAAACGACCGCTTCACCTCCAAGTCCTCAGGGTGTTATATTTTGAAGAAGACCAGGCTTCACTGCAGGTTCCTATTTTTTGAAAGTCTGTAGGCCCGACTTCCTGCGCTTGCACAACCACACGCAACTTAACGGCAAGTTTTAGATCTGGATAGTCCTCTTTTCAGAGCTACAATTTTTACAGGAGTGGAGTGTTTGGCTCCAAATTTTCAATATAGCAAGAAGAGGCTTTGCGCTCAATACTCATATCAAAAAAGGGCGACTTTTGAATTTTGAAGGCAAGTTAAGAGGGTCAGGCGCAGCCCCTCAACAGTTCAGGCGGCCTGACCTTTTGAGGGGTTGCGCCTGACCCCATTAACTTTATTTCCGAAAAAGTTTTTCCACCCAAGTTTTATGTGATTCGCTAGCTCAACCCTCGAAGATTTCACAATCAGTGTTTGAGCTTGATTCGACTTGTTTCGGCCTTGTGCTAATCCGAGGAGTTGAAGCACTCAACATGAAAAGCGCGTCGGTTGGAATTTTGGCAGCACTTCTTATTTCACTGTTTGAAAGCGATATGAAGCCCGATTTGTAGCATAGACTTGTAGAGAAAATTACTTTGTTATGAGTCTACAAAAGCTGACTTTTCTCACTTCTGGAACCAAGTTGATCACGTTTGAAAATCACGCTTTTTAGACGTTGAGAAACACTAGAAACTGCAGTAGATATTAGTTTGTAGAGCGCATAGAGGTAATTTGACATGTTGATTATGGAAATGGTACCCATTTCACACAGCAAGCTTCTTTGTCGACCTCATATGTCAAGGTAAAAGAGATGAAGATTTGAATTTTGGCTGAAACATCCATTGTGGGAACAATCAGTATGCTGTTTATGACCGTCATTCCTTCATGTGATCGCGATATCCACCTGACTAGCGCTTTTCTTCTTCATCTTCGCAGTATCTCCCCAACTTAACAAATTCGATTCTTAGGGCCGCATGCACTAACCTCCCCGCTGGGGAGGGGATCGCAGCTTAAAAGAAAGCTTTATATTTCGAAACTCCAGAATCTGGATTTCACGTTGTGTACCTATCCGTAAGTATTCCTACTACCCTTTACTATGAACATGTTGAACAGGAGCAAGAAGCTGTACGAACGGCATTTTCCAGCTTTTGTATGATCCCTGATGATCCCCGGCGCTTTTCTTTAAAGTCATTTTTCTTTCTCCGAAGTTAACGAAAACTTTCCAAAGCTGTACTGAACATCTAAAACAACAGTGCTAAGCATGTTGCTGATGAGAACAAATGAGTTTTTGAAAAGTCGAATTTTTCGGTAAACCTCAAATTTCGACCTATGGATCATCGCAAATTTCATGACTCCGATACATCACTTGTTGTTATCAGCAACATGCTAAGCAGTGTTGGGTTAGATAATCTGCACAACTTTGGAAACTTTTCGTTAACTTTGGAGAAAGAAAAATGACTTCAAAGAGAAGCGCCGGGGATCGTCAGGGATCATACAAAAGCTGGGAAATGCGGTTCGTACAGCTTCTCACTGCTGTTCAATATGTTCATAGTGAAGGGTAGTAGGAATACTTACGGATAGGTACACAACGTTAAATCCAGGTATCTGGAGTTTCGAAATATAAAGCTTTCTTTTAAGCTGCGATCCCCTCCCCGCGGGGATGTTAGTGCATGCGGCCCTTAATTACGACCCCCCTTTCCCTCAGTCTTAGGGCCGCATGCACTAACATCCCCGCGGGGAGGGGATCGCAGCTTAAAAGAAAGCTTTATATAAATTCCAGATACCTGGATTTCACGTTGTGTACCTTTCCGTAAGTATTCCTACTACCCTTCACTATGAACATGTTGAAGAGGAGCGAGAAGCTGTACGAACCGCAATTTCCAGCTTTTGTATGATCCCTGGTAATCCGGAGCTTTTCTTTAAAGTCGTTTTTCTTTCTCCGAAGTTAACAAATAACCTCCAAAGTTGTGCAGATTATCTAACCCGACAGTGCTAAGCATGTTGCTGATAAGAACAAATGATGTTTTGAAGTCATGAAATTTTCGATGATCCACAGGTCGAGATTTGAGGTTTACCGAAAAATTCGACTTTTCAAAAACTCATTTGTTCTCATCAGCAACATGCTTAGCACTGTTGTGTTAGATGTTCAGTACAACTTTGGAAGGCTTTCACTAACTTTGGAGAAAGAAAAATGACTTTAAAGAAAAGCGCCGGGGATCATCAGGGATCACAAAAGCT